GGAAGGTAAACGGCGTTTCCGTGCGCTCTGGCTTACATCACGGTGTTCAGTTGTGCCAGAAGCGGAAAGAAGCCACATGACCCAGGAAGCTGTCTGTGGACAAACGCCAGCTCCCTCGGCCTGTAAAGCGAGATGAGCGCCGCAACCCCATAGTCACCTTTGACTGGACTTAACCATCTAGGGGTCCTTTACCTTTGCCTGTTACCCTGGTACCAGTGAATGCTGCCTATTGTTATTGGGCAATAACAGCTTATCTCTCCCCCCCCCCCCGTGTGTGTGTGTGTGTGTTTGTGTGTATGTGTTTAGAAAATCAATATTGTGTGATTATCACAAATAGAGGACATAGCACTGACTTTCCATGGTAAACATGAGATTGGGCGAAGACAATCAGCAACAACCCTCTTATTTTGTGCAATGCTTTGCCTTCGCAGAAGACACATCCCGCAGTGGCCTTTTTATGACCTGTGCCCTTGGCACTATTCACACTTTTTAATTCTTTATCATTCAAAGCAATAAACACGGTGCGTAAAATGTTAACCATTTGGGTTTTTGTTTCGTATTTTTGATTTTTATTATCCACATTTTAATTAAACGTTTGTCACAAGTTCAGTAGGGAAGGGAAGAGAGGCATTTTATAATTTATCAAAATGTGAGGACTGGCACCTCCCCCCCCCAAAAAAAGCACTGCCCTTAATATGGTACATTATTTTCATGTGTTTTGTGCGCCATCTCAAGAGCTTTTAGTGAGCCATCTGGAAGCTTAGGGCTAAAATGTGAAGAAAGGAGGCCTGTGCAGAAGATACGATTGATTTGTAAAGTGCTCCTTTAATGCACGTCCCGCTGGGTGGGAGTCCCTAGGGGGAAAGAGTTTATATTTTGGGGGAGCTCCCATGCTATGCTTTCTTTTGCTTTTCTGAAACAAGCTGTAGGCTTTCTTCAGCCTCTTGGGTGCAGGTAAAGTTGACAGCCAAAATAAGAGGCAAAGGAGAACTTCTGCTGAAGAATGGAGAGCAGCCATGGGTGTGCATTAAGCCTAGCAGCCAATCCTATTCATCTCTTCTGTATAATAATAATAATAATAATAATAATAATAATAATAATAATAATAAATTATTTATACCCCGCCCATCTGGCTGAGTTTCCCCAGCCACTCTGGGCGGCTCCCAATCAAGTGTTAAAAACATACAGCGTTAAATATTAAAAACTTCCCTGAACAGGGCTGCCTTCAGATGTCTTTTGAAGATAGCATTGCTGCTTATTTCCTTCACATCTGAAGGGAGGGTGTTCCACAGGGTGGGCGCCACTACTGAGAAGGCCCTCTGTCTGGTTCCCTGTAACCTCACGTCTCGCAGTGAGGGAACCGCCAGAAGGCCCTCGGCGCTGGACCTCAGTGTCCGGGCTGAACGATGGGGGTGGAGACGCTCCTTCAGGTATCCAGGACTGAGGCCGTTTAGGGCTTTAAAGGTCAGCACCAACACTTTGAATTGTGCTTGGAAACGTACTGGGAGCCAATGCAGATCTCTCAGGACCGGTGTTATGTGGTCTCGGCGGCCACTCCCAGTCACCAGTCTAGCTGCCGCATTCTGGATTAATTGCAGTTTCCGGGTCACCTTCAAAGGTAGCCCCACGTAGAGCGCATTGCAGTAGTCCAAGTGGGAGATAACTAGAGCATGCACCACTCTGGCGAGACAGTCTGCGGGCAGGTAGGGTCTTAGCCTGTGTACCAGGTGGAGTTGATAAACAGCTGCCCTGGACACAGAATTGACCTGCGCCTCCATGGACAGCTGTGAGTCCAAAATGACTCCCAGGCTGTGTACCTGGTCCTTCAGGGGCACAGTTACCCTATTCAGGACCAGGGAGTCTCCCACACCCACTCGCCCTCTGTCCCCCCAAAACAGTACTTCTGTCTTGTCAGGATTCAACCTCAATCTGTTAGCCGCCATCCATCCTCCAACCGCCTCCAGACACTCACGCAGGACCTTCACCGCCTTCACTGGTTCTGATTTGAAGGAGTGATAGAGCTGGGTATCATCTGCATACTGATGAACACCCAGCCCAAATCCCCTGATGATCTCTCCCAGCGGCTGCATATAGATGTTGAAAAGCATGGGGGAGAGGACAGAACCCTGAGGCATCCCACAAGTGAGAGCCCAGGGGTCTGAACACTCATCCGCCATCACCACTTTCTGGACACGGCCCAGGAGGAAGGAGCGAAACCACTGTATGTGCCCCCAGCTCCCAGCCCCTCTAGACAGTCCAGAAGGATGTTATGGTTGATGGTGTCAGTGGCTGCATCAACAGTTTGATGGGAACAAGGTGGAATGGGAGATAGCAAAACCCTAATTGGTACCAGTTGTGCCACTGGATGTGCTTATGGCAATTTTGATCCTTATAGAGGTGTTTTTGTTGTTGTTACTCTTTTCGAGAAATAAGGAAACTATTGACAGCAAGAGGAGCTCTTGCCAGGCGACCACTTATTGGAGAGCTGATGGGAAATTCTTCGTGACCTTAGATGCCTCTTGTATAAATTGATACCAGATGATGTTTTGGAACATAAAGTCTTGGCTCGCTTTGGAGCTCTTTGCATAATGCCTATCTCTAGAGTTAGTTTACTTCGAAGGACTGGTGGGATAGGTAGGGATGGGAACTTCCTTTCGGTAGTTTTATTTGTGTTACGCTTTTTAGTAAAAGTTAAAGGATCAGAAAGGAACAACCGTTCTCCACAGTGCTAATAGCTCCACAAGAAAACACTTCCATTGCTTTGCTCTATTTTTCTATTTTGCCTTATTTCCCCAAAGGCTTTTTTCTTGCCTTAAACAACTAGGGTACACTCAAGTTCAGTGAAACCTGATAAATGGCTTGAGATTTGCCATGATGCTAAAAACGAAACCTCAGACTGTTGGTGGGCACCGGGTCCAGAGCAGTCAGATTACCAAGTACATAACATCTTAATCCATGGTATTTTGCCAGGTTAAAGGTAAAGGTAAAGGGACCCCTGACCATTAGGTCCAGTTGTGGCCGACTCTGGGTTGCGGCGCTCATCTCGCTGTGTTGGGCGAGGGAGCCGGCGTACAGCTTCCGGGTCATGTGGTCAGCATGACGAAGCCACTTCTGGCGAACCAGAGCAGCGCACAAAAACGCCGTTTACCTTCCTGCCGGAGACGTACCTATTTATCTACTTGCGCTCTGACGTGCTTTCGAACTGCTAGGTTGGCAGGAGCAGGGACTGAGCAATGGGAGCTCACACCGTTGCGGGGATTCGAACCGCCGACCTTCTGATCGGCAAGCCCTAGGCTCTGTGGTTTAACCCACAGCGCCACCCGCGTCCCTATTTTGCCAGGTTAAAGCAGCACAAAGAAAGTAAGTGTACAATCCTGTACACTGTCTCTTCAGAAGTAGGCGCCATTGCATTCAGAGAGTGTATGACGTGTATGAGCACATTGCGTTGCAGCCTGGTTTCTCCATTGAAGTCTCAGGGCTGACAATGTGTTCAGCCGTTGGCTAAACTCTTACTGTCAGGGGTTCAGGAGCAGAGGCGAGGGCAAGGGAGGAAACAGAGAGCGAGGGGGAGGAGTCCGAGGAAAGGATGAGTGATGACGACGACCCGAGATCTCCGAGTCTTTCCAGTGAATCAGAAGATTCACAGAAAGGAGCGCCAGTGGCCAGAGCAAAGGGGGGGCCCAGGGGGGCACCCCAGGAGGAAGGGACCAGCGGGGGTTCAGAGGGCAGCAGTTGGAAATCGGGGCCAGCGTCCCCACCAGAGCGCAGTGGAGAGGAAGGGCGTCAGGGATCAAGCCCTGGCAGCTCGCAGCAGGGAGGAGGGCATGAGTCAGGAGTGACCACACCCCCATCGGGGAGAGAAGAAACGGTCAAGCGGAAAGTGAAAGGTTGGGCGCGCGCGCCAAGTTCAAATGCACAGGAAGGCGGCGCAGTAAGCAGCCCGGAAAGGGAGCCAGGTCCTAAAGCCCGACGCAAGGAGACAGGAGGGTCCGGGGGGTCAGCGTCAGAGGAGTCCCGGAAGGAAGAGACCACGGGGGGCAGAGGGACCCAGAGAAGGACGGTCAGGCGGAAAAGGTGGAGTAAGGCGAGGATATTAAGTTGGTGTACAAGGGGCGGAGACTCAGACGGAGCTTCGCCGGTCTAGCCATTAGACGTAGAGTTGCACGCAGCAGCTTGGAAATGGAAACTGTAACTCAATAAAGACTTTTATAAAGTGAACGCTGGCTAGCGTGATCCTCTGTGAGCTAGGATCGGAGAGCAGCTCTGACACTTACGCTTCGGTGTTACTTGTGATTAACAATGAATAATAAGCAAGGGCCCGTTCAGACTGCCATTTTATTATGGGTGTATGCAGCGACATGCCATTGATGCTCCTGGGTTATTGCACCCACTCTCTGCCCATTCCATAGACCTTGTTCCTGCCTAGTGCACCTCCCAGGTAAAAGGTAAAGGGACCCCTGACCATTAGGTCCAGTCGTGACCGACTCTGGGGTTGCAGCGCTCATCTCGCTTTATTGGCTGAGGGAGCCGGCGTACAGCTTCCGGGTCATGTGGCCAGCATGACTAAGCCACTTCTGGCGAACCAGAGCAGCTCACGGAAACACCGTTTACCTTCCCGCCGGAGCGGTACCTATTTATCTACTTGCACTGGCTTGCTTTCGAACTGCTAGGTTGGCAGGAGCAGGGACCGAGCAACGGGAGCTCACCCCGTTGCGGGGATTCGAACCGCCGACCTTCTGATCGGCAAGTCCTAGGCTCTGTGGTTTAACCCACAGCACCACCCGCGTCCCTCTCACCTCCCAGGGGGAACTAGCAAAATATAGTAGCATTTGTGAACAGTAAGTCTCAGGCAATCATTTTGCTACCCACTCTGCTGCAACTGCACCTTGAAATTCTCCCTTGAGAGATGACCAGACTATTGGAGGCGTGTACCGCAGGAATTGGGATTCTGGAGGGCATGTTGAGAACGTAACTGAATTGTGTCTGCCTTTGTTTTCCAGGTACTAAATGAAGCAGTGGGTGCCCTGATGTACCACACCATCACTTTAACCCGTGAAGACCTGGAGAAGTTTAAAGCACTTCGAATAATTGTTAGAATTGGAAGTGGTTTTGATAACATTGATATTAAGTCTGCTGGCGATTTAGGTATGTTGTTAATTCACGTCTGTGAAATTTTATGTAGAAACCGAAGGGGGTTGGTGTTCAAACTTTGCTGACATGTTTGTAGGTTGCACTTAATTGTGGTACTCTGTATTTGAAATTACGTTAATACAGTGGTACCTCGGGTTACATACACTTCAGGTTACATACGCTTCAGGTTACAGACTCCGCCAACCCAGAAATAGTACCTCGGGTTAAGAACTTTGCTTCAGGATGAGAACAGAAATCGTGCTCCGGTGGGGTGGCAGCAGCGGGAGGCTCCATTAGCTAAAGTGGTGCTTCAGGTTAAGAACAGTTTCAGGTTATGAACGGACCTCCGGAAGGAATTAAGTACTTAACCCGAGGTACCACTGTAACTCAAGTAATGGTACTCCAGTTGGCCCCATTAGCTAAAGTGGTGCTTCAGGTTAAGAACAGTTTCAGGTTAAGAACGGACCCCTGGAACGAATTAAGTACTTAACCCGAGGCACCACTGTTTTTACACCCTACCCATCTGGCTGGGTTTCCCCAGCCACTCTGGGCGGCTTCCAACAGAATATTAAAATACAATAACCTATTAAACATTAAAAACTTCCCTAAACTGGGCTGCCTTCAGATGTCTTCTAAAAGTCTGGTACTTGTTGTTCTCTTTGACATCTGCTGGAAGGGCGTTCCACAGGGTGGGTGCCACTACCGAGAAGGCCCTCTGCCTGGTTCCCTGTAACTTGGCTTCTTGCAGCGAGGGAACCGCCAGAAGGCCCTCGGCGCTGGACCTCAGTGTCCGGGCAGAACGATGGGGGTGGAGACGCTCCTTCAGGTATACAGGACCAAGCATGAGATTCTTAACCCAGGGCTGTATGTTTGAGCCCCACATTGGGCCAAAGATTCTTGCACTCTGGGGGATTGAACTAAATGATCCTTGTGGTCCCTTCCAAACTCTGTGATCTGGAGCAGTGTTGGCTCTGGATTTTGAAGGGCTCTTGGGCAAGGCATCCTCCATGCCACCTCCCATCCACCTCCATGACTCCCAGCTCCTCACCGCCCCACGTCATGGAGGGTTCTTGAGCCCTCAGCAGATGCCTGAGCATGCCGAACCATTGGTGCCAGCCCAGGTCTGGAAGACCACAGGTCAGCTACGCCTGGATCACAACCTTGGAGCATTCTAGAAACTAAATTCTGGCAAGTGAGCCTTGGTCCCATCCCTGGAGCAACTGCTGACATCCAGCTCCACTCTCCCCTGCCCTACCCAAAGCAAGAGTTTATTCCACAACCCCACTTGCGCTTTTCTGATGCATGACTTGTTTTAGATGGTTGAAGCAGCAGGTGGGGGCTGTTCATTTTTTAATCGTTGGAAAGGTGCATAGTCTTGCTTTAGGTCAGGCATAGGCAAACTCGGCCCTCCAGCTGTTTTGGGACTACAACTCCCATCATCCCTAGCTAACTGGACCAGTGGTCAGGGATGATGGGAATTGTAGTCCCAAAAACATCTGGAGGGCCGAGTTTGCCTATGCCTGCTTTAGGTGCTTAATAGTATATGTCTTTCCAACATCTCTGAGGGCCAGGGGCTGGTTGAATTCATAAAGATGCTGGGGGCGGATTCCGTGGCATTCTGGAGCCACCCTAGGATTCAACACATTGTGTTTTTTTCTAATTATTCTTTAAGGGATTGCAGTGTGCAATGTTCCGGCTGCATCCGTGGAAGAGACAGCGGACTCTACAATGTGCCACATCTTGAACCTGTACAGACGAACCACCTGGCTCCATCAGGCCTTGCGAGAAGGCACGAGGGTGCAGAGCGTGGAGCAGATCCGGGAAGTGGCTTCTGGGGCTGCAAGAATCCGAGGGGAGACCCTGGGCATTATTGGGTTAGGTAGGCCCACCCTGTTGTCCTGCTCTCTGCTCTTTGAAGATAAAGTCTGTTTGTTAGTTAAATGCATCCACTATTGTGGCTTAAGGCTAATCGGGACCCTAACAAACTGCTAGCGATGATGGTGTCCTATTTAGAATCGCTGCCCTGGGTTAGCTAGTGCCCTAAGATGCTCCAAACCTGTTGTCTGCGTTACCAGGACCAGATATCTACCTCTCTACAGTGGTACCTCGGTTTAAGAATAGTCCTGTTTATGAACGATAAGAATAGTCCTAGTTACAGATAGGTAGCCGTGTTGGTCTGCCATAGTCAAAACAAAAAAAAATTCCTTCCAGTAGCACCTTAAAGACCAACTAAGTTAGTTCTTGGTATGAGCTTTCGTGTGCATGCACACTTCTTCAGATACACTGAAGAAGTGTGCATGCACACGAAAGCTCATACCAAGAACTAACTTAGTTGGTCTTTAAGGTGCTACTGGAAGGAATTTTTTTTGTTTTAAGAATAGTCCTGTTTATGAACGATTCGGTTTACGAACTTCGCAAAACCGGAAGTAGTGTTTGCGAACTTAACCTTGGTCTACAAACGGAAACCAAACTGTGGAAGGGCACCGGTGGTGGGAGGACTCATTAGAGAAAGCGCGCCTCGGTTTAAGAATGGAATCGGTTTAAGAATGGACTTCAGGAACGGATTAAGTTTGTAAACCGAGGTACCACTGTATTTTGCTCAGTAGTTCATTTCTAAAATGTATTCCAGAACCGCCTTGTCACTCCGTAGCAGAAACAAGTTTGTTGAACCATAGTGGGCGAGAGCCTACACAAAGTCTGGGGAGTAGTGGAAGAGTAACAGTGATGTTTTCCTAATGGAACTGGAAATTTCTCTTCTCCATGTTTCATTAGAACTCTTTAAGTTGGACTACTGCGTACATACTCTGCGACCTCATTCTGACATAACACTAAACTATGGCTTAGCATAATATGAATGGCCCTCTGCTTTGTGAGCTCCCTTCTCTTCTTCCTCTGCAACCATGCGGAGGAGTAGATAGGAAGGTTTTGCAACTAATTATGGCCACGTGTTATCCTTGGACCCAGATAAACTGGATATTCTTAACTATGGTTTAGGGAAAGAAGCAAACATTAAACCTTGGTTTACGATTCTGCTAAACCAGTGTTCTTCAGCTTTGGGTCACCAAATGTTGTTGGACAATATCCTCAGCCAGCTTAGCCGCAGGTGGGACCCACAATTGAAAAACACTGTCCTAAACCATATTTAAGATTCAGCTTTGGGGATAATGATAATAAACCATGGTTAATTGAAAGCAGAAGCAAAACCTTTTCCTTATAAGACTCACTTTTTCCCTCCTAAAAAGTAAGGGGAAATGTGTGTGCGTCTTATGGAGCGAATGCAGGCCGCGCAGCTATCCCAGAAGCCAGAACAGCAAGAGGGATTGCTGCTTTCACTGCGCAGCGATCCCTCTTGCTGTTCTGGCTTCTGAGATTCAGAATATTTTTTTTCTTGTTTTCCTCCTCCAAAAACCAGGTGCGTCTTGTGGTCTGGTGCGTCTTATAGAGCGAAAAATACAGTAGTTTAACATTGCATCCAATCCCCATCTACATGAATGGGTGGGTTGATTTATACCTGCCTCAACAATATTTGTTGCAAGACAAAAAAATTCTCCCCCTCCCCGCAGGACGAGTTGGTCAAGCAGTTGCACTACGTGCAAAAGCCTTTGGCTTCAATGTCATTTTCTACGACCCGTACCTCTCAGATGGCATGGAACGTGCTCTTGGACTTCAGCGGGTGACGACTTTGCAGGATTTGTTGTTTCACAGCGACTGCGTCACCCTCCACTGCAGCCTAAACGAACACAACCATCACCTTATTAACGACTTCACCATTAAACAGGTACGTTTCGGATAATGTCACAGTGACGATAAGAGTTAACATTTACGTATCAATTTTTGTGTGTTCTAAGCACGTCACCAACATCGCCTTAGAGATACTTACAACAGCCTTGCGAGGCAGACCAAAGATGTCATCGCCATATTGCAGATATATTGTTACAGCGTATATTGAGAGGCGAGCGGTTCTGCCATGCAACCAGGTATCAATTTTGTCTGCCTTCTGTCCTAGTAATAGGTTCTACTTGGTGAAGAAATGTCACATCCTACCACTGCAGTTTAATCACGTGGATCTTTGTTTACTCATGAACTGAAAAGTTGCCTTCTGATAAAATTTCTGCACATCTCAATTCGTAGATTAAGTGGCTGCTGCCCCCTTGTGTTCAGTGCTAATACTCACAAGCGTAACCCATCCCAATTTATTTGTCCGGCTACTGGCGGAGGAGAGTACTTGAAATAATTTTGGACTTTCAACTTAAACGTTTGCAGATCACCCATAGCATTTACAGCCGTAACTTAGTTTTTATTGAACTTGCATTATCAGAAGTGGATGCTTGCCAATCAAAACAACCATTTCTTAGTTCTGTAGGCAGAACTACAGAATAAAGGCAGTCTTGCAATTAGTTGCATCCTAGATGACACAACCTTGATGGCAGAAAATGAGGAGGAATTAAAGAACCTATTAATGAGGGTGAAAGAGGAGAGCGCAAAATATAGTTTGAAGCTCAACATCAAAAAAACTAAGATCATGGCCACTGGTCCCATCACCTCCTGGCAAGTAGAACGGGAAGAAATGGAGGCAGTGAGAGATTCTACTTTCTTGGGCTCCATGATCACTGCAGATGGTGACAGCAGCCACGAAATTAAAAGGCGCCTGCTTCTTGGGAGAAGGGCAATGACAGGCCTAGACAGCATCTTGAGAAGTAGAGACGTCACCTTGCCAACAAAGGTCCGTATAGTTAAAGCCATGGTTTTCCCAGTAGTGATGTATGGAAGTGAGAGCTGGACCATAAAGAAGGCTGACCGCCGAAGAATTGATGCTTTTGAATTATGGTGCTGGAGGAGACTCTTGAGAGTCCCATGGACTGCAATAAGATCAAACCTATCCATTCTTAAGGAAATCAGCCCTGAGTGCTCACTGGAAGGACAGATCCTGAAGCTGAGGCTTCGATACTTTGGCCACCTCATGAGAAGAGAAGACTCCCTGGAAAAGACCCTGATGTTGGGAAAGATGGAGGGCACAAGGAGAAGGGGACGACAAAGGACGAGATGGTTGGACAGTGTTCTCGAAGCTACCAGCATGAGTTTGACCAAACTGCGGGAGGCAGTGGAAGACAGGAGTGCCTGGCGTGCTCTGGTCCATGGGGTCACGAAGTGTCAGAAACGACAAAAACAACAACAACTATTGTGTTATGCAGCCACTTCTCTGAGGTTTGGTAATCAGACCATCCACCTGATGTATTGGCACCTAGTTCATGGAAGCTTGTGCTGCAATAATTCCAGGAATCTCTTTTTCATCTGTGAACCTGCATGAGAACATGAGAATTCAATCCACTTCTGGGTCCCCTCCCCCCACTTTAAGAGGTCTGGCGACTGGGCAGAAGGGCTTTTCAGCTGTGATGAACAGAATATGGAATAGCCACTGGCTGCTTCATGGCCTCTATTTAGGCAGGTTGCAAAACCACCTTTATCTCAGCAGGCATTTTCAGGGCACATTAGATTTTAGAGTTGTGCTTTGATTCCCAGGGAACGAGGTATTAACATTTAGAAAAGCTTCTCTGAGATGTCTTGATCCCATGGGACAGAGCAGGATGTCAAATAAAGAAATATAAACGCATTAGTTAACCTGTTGCTATCTTGCTGCTCCTGCAATCATATGAGGTACTTCAAATTGTCGTTTTATTCTTTTTTTTATATTAATTACAGTGCCGATTCTGTTTTTAAAAATGGTGCTGCAGGAATGTTGGTATAAATGAATGCTCTGATCTTTAAGGTGCCACAAACCTTTTCTTTATTGCAACCAACAGAATTTGCTGTGCAGTTAATTCTATGGATTCTCTGTTCAGGCAGTTCATGATTTGTCTTTTATCTGGTCATACGCTTCACATAAACTGGTTTCTACAGCTTTCTGGGTTTCAAGTTAATTGGGTTTCAGCAAGCAAGGAATCTCAACATTATGGGCTGGCCATTTCTTGAATTACATTAGCATAGTTTATGGATATGTTTGCTTGCAAGTTTCTGAAAGCCATGAAACGTCTTGATGAAACAGGAAATCGACATAAACATATTACTGAAAGCTACAATTGTCTGTGTCAGTTTTATAATTTATTAAATATTTCCGCTTTCCTAAAGGATCTTGGAATGCAAAGGTGTTCTGATAAGTTATTAATATGTCACTTATTTTTATGTCGACAGCTGTGCTGTTCTACTTGGTACAACTTTAAGTGTTTCCATTGATATGTTAAGGGAAGTAGAAAATTACAATGTTGCCTCAGTAAGCAAACACATTTTGTTTGCTAATGGGTGCTTGTTTTCACATGTCTCGTTTTTAGTAATTTCTATTCACTTTACCTTAAAAAAAATTTTTTTTGCAGTAAATCAGTTCAGTTTCTTGTGAAAGGTAGAGGAAACAGCCTGTGCACTTTCTCCAAAGCCACAGCAGTTCCTTTCAGCGACTCACGAGTCTTAAATTTCATAAATTGTCATCTGACTTCAGTGCAGTACAACAGGGCACACATTTTAAAGTCCTGTTAACTAGACGGAAAGTATTTTTAAACCATATTTTTAAGGTTTGCTTTCAGTATTGCCTTAGGCTACATTATAGCATTTAAACGCAGACTGAACATCTGTCAAATGCAAAAATTAATCTGTTTGATGCTCTTCCCCCTGGGCGTTGTTCAGTTTAACCGTGATAAAGATGCAGTTTTGCTTGGCTATTTACACCTTTTAAGCTTGGTTTATAAGAAGATTTTTGTAGCATTTTTCCAGTGTGTAGTAAGGCAAGTGGTCCACTTTTTGGTGTAGGCTGTTCCAATGACGGCTGGTTCCTCTACTAACATCAACTTTATTTCACACACTTTTAATCTCGGCATTTTAACTTCCCGCAGATGCGACAGGGAGCCTTCCTTGTGAACATGGCTCGAGGAGGGCTAGTAGATGAAAAAGCACTTGCACAGGCCCTGAAGGAAGGAAGAATACGAGGGGCAGCCTTGGACGTACACGAGTCAGAACCATTCAGGTGATTCTGTTTCCTATTCAGTGCCTGTTCTATTGCTAAACAAAAATAACAAGGTTACGGAACCCCTGACCATTAGGTCCAGTCGTGGCCGACTCTGGGGTTGTGGTGCTCATCTTGCTTTATTGGCTGAGGGAGCCGGCGTACAGCTTCCGGGTCATGTGGCCAGCATGACTAAGCCGCTTCTGGCAAACCAGAGCAGCGCACGGAAATGCCGTTTACCTTCCCGCCAGAGTGGTACCTATTTATCTACTTGCACTTTGATGTGCTTTCGAACTGCTAGGTTGGCAGGAGCAGGGACTGAGCAACAGGAGTTCACCCCATCGCGGGGATTCGAACCGCCGACCTTCTGATCGGCAAGTCCTTGGCTCTGTGGTTTAACCCACAGCGCCACCTTCCAAATGAAGATTCTCTGGTCCTTCCTAGAGTGTTCCAAGTGTCTCCTAAACTTGCGTCTCTGGATTATTATCAGAATATGCAGTGACCCAGAATATATTGTTTCCCGCTATTTATTAAAAAGAAGATATAAATTATGTGCCCCTGGTGACCAGCCTTTGCTCACCTTCGGACCCACAGGCTTGGGTAACAGCAGGTTCAACGCTCCATTTCTTCTGATTAGTAGGAAATTAATGGTTCTACACAATCTTCCAAGGGTACAAGGCGTATTTCGTAGCAAAAATACGTTCCCGCCTGACTGCTTGGCCTGTCCTCCTTCTATATTCTCTGCCCTGCAGGGCTCTGAGATACTGGGAGTGTTTCTGGATGATGCGTGAGCACCTAACAGGTCCACACAAAAGTTTAGACAACACCTTGATAGCTTCCATGGATTCGGTCAGCAGTGAGGTCGTGAGGAACAGATACCTCAAAGATGCTGTTTGATCCCTTTCCACCCACCCCAGTATACAGCTCAATCATACTTCCAAAATCTGTTTGGGGTGCCAAGATATTGACCTGGTTGAGACTTGATATGAAGGCAGGGAGAAGCTGTTCAAAAGAACCACGTTCCTCTCATACTACCACAGAACCAGTAACTCCAGAACTAACTCTCCCAAAAGTTTACCATAAATACCGTATTTTTCGCTCTATAAGACGCACCAGACCACAAGTTTTTGGAGGAGGAAAACAAGAAAAAAATATATCCTGAATCTCAGAAGCCAGAACAGCAAGAGGGATCGCTGCGCAGTGAAAGCAGCAATCCCTCTTGCTGTTCTGGCTTCTGGGATAGCTGCGCAGCCTGCATTCGCTCCATAAGACGCACACACATTTCCCCTTACATTTTAGGAGGGAAAAAGTGAGTCTTAAAGAGCAAAAAATACGGTACTTCTCTTTATATCTAGGCAAATGGCTGTCTTACTGTTTTATTACATATATCTTCCTCCAGCGAACTCTGGAAACTTCTACTCTGGGCTTTCAAACCCCGTCTCAATACTGTTTCCTCAAATGCACATGTTGTTGTTCCCATTATCCTCAGCACTGGCTGTGCTGTTGAGAAATGGAAGTCATGGGTGTTTGCAGTTCATTTCTGGCTGTGTATACTTAGCTTGGGGACACGGGTGGCGCTGTGGGTTAAACCACAGAGCCTGGGACTTGCTGATCAGAAGGTCGGCGGTTCGAATCCCCGTGACGGGGTCAGCTCCCATTGCTCAGTCCCTGCTCCTGCCAACCTAGCAGTCCGAAAGCACGTCAAAGTGCAAGTAGATAAATAGGGACCGCTCCAGCAGGAAGGTAAACGGCGTTTCCATGCGCTGCTCTGGTTCGCCAGAAGCGGCTTAGTCATGCTGGCCACGTGACCCGGAAGCTGTACGCTGGCTCCCTCGGCCAATAAAGCGAGATGAGCGCCGCAACCCCAGAGTTGGCCACGACTGGACCTAATGGTCAGGGGTCCCCTTTACCTTTTTATACTTATTCTTAATAAACACACAAAAGCCTCTGTTCAGGAGGATGATGATGATGATTAATTACAGTATAAGATGTACAGTATATGACACCTTTCTTTACTTTTTCTCTCAGCTTTAGTCAGGGTCCCCTGAAGGATGCGCCAAATCTGATCTGTACTCCCCACGCTGCGTGGTACAGTGAGCAGGCCTCAATAGAGATGCGGGAAGAAGCAGCCCGTGAGATCCGGAAAGCTATCACAGGTGCCAGCCATGTTCCCCTCAATGTTCTTTTACTGACTGTTTTACTGACTGTTCCTTTGGCTTAACAGAGCATGCCGTTCTTCTGTATGTAGAACATCAGTAGTACAGTGGTTAAGTACTCGGGTTAAGTACTTAATTCATTCCGGGGGTCCGTACTTAACCTGAAACTGTTCTTAACCTGAAGCACCACTTTAGCTAATGGGGCCTCCTGCTGCCGCCGGAGCACGATTTCTGTTCTCATCCTGAAGCAAAGTTCTTAACCTGAAGCACTATTTCTGGGTTAGTGGAGTCTGTAAGCTGAAGCGTATGTAACCCGAGGTACCACTGTACAAAGGACACCAAACTGTCTCGGAATAACATTTGCTAAGTGTGGCACTGCTAACTTTGCAAACGTTGACTTTTAAGCACGACTCTGAATGAGAACTGAACACCACTGCGGTTACAAAGCTGGTGGAGCCTCACCAAAGTCAGGTTGTGTGGGGTCGTTTTGTTGCGGCAGCTTGAGGGTGTGGACCAGGTGCACACCTGACCCTAGGTGTATTACAGTGGTACCTCTAGTTACAAACGTTCCAGAGGTCCGTTCTTAACCTGAAACTGTTCTTAACTAGAGGCGCGCTTTCGCTAATGGGGCCTCTTGCTGCCGCTGCACCGCCGGCACGCGATTATCCTGGGGCAAAGTTCTCAACTCGAGGTAACTCTTCCAGGTCAGCGGCGTTTGTAACCTGAGGCGTTTGTAACTCAAGGTACCACTTCATAGCGATTAATATCAAACGAAGGAGAGAACTTGCCAAATAATAATAATAATAATAATTTTTATTTATACCCCGCCCTCCCCAGCCAAGGCCGGGCTCAGGGTGACTAACAAGCAATAATAAAAACAAGTTGAATGAATACAACTTAAAAACAAGATTAAAACACAACATTAAAATATTAAAATGCAGCCTCATCACAGGAGGAGAAAGGAAAAAGAAAGAGGGAGAGGGAATCAAATTGGCTCCAAGCCAAAGGCCAGGAGGAACAACTCTGTCTTACAGGCCCTGCGGAAAGAAATCAGATCCTGCAGGGCCCTGGTCTCGTGAGACAGAGCGTTCCACCAGACTGGAGCCAGTGTTGAAAAGGCCATGGCTCTGGTTGAAGCTAATCTAACTTCTTTAGGGCCCGGGACCTCTAGGGTGTTGCTATTTATGGACCTTGAGGTCCTCCGTGGGGCATACCGGGTGAACTGATAACAATGAAAAACGACCATTATTAATGTGCCACGCACATTCGTGCGCATTTTATTTTTAACCTGACATTATTTGCACATGCGGAGTTTACTTATGCTGCAATATTTAACTGTCTGGCTAGGTCGCATTCCAGACAACCTGAGGAACTGTGTCAACAAAGAACATTTGACTGCAGCTACACATTGGGCCAGCATGGACCCAGGAGTTGTTCACCCAGAGCTCAATGGCGCTGCATACAGGTAAGAAATTTGAGTCAAATGCCACTCCCATCAAATGCTATTGCTATAACTTCCAAATCTCTTGTGGACGTGTGGGGGTGGGGTGGGGCAGCTGGTACTCCACAATAACCATATTTTTTGGGGGGAAGCTTTAGTGCAGGGGTCAGCAAACTTTTTCAGCAGGGGGCCGGTCCACTGTCCCTCAGACCTTGTGGGGGGCTGGACTATATTTGGGGGGGGGAATATGAACGAATTCCTATGCCCCACAAATAACCCAGAGATGCATTTTAAATAAAAGGACACATTCTACTCATGTGAAAACACGCTGATTCCCGGACCATCCGTGGGCCGGATTTAGAAGGTGATTGGACCGGATCTGGCCCTTGGGCCTTAGTTTGCCTACCCATGCTCTTGTGACTGATCTCCCATGTAGTTGCTGCTAAATTGGGGGGGGGGACGACAACTCCATAACCACTACCCCCTTCCCCGAGAGGCAGCAACGTCATCTGCAAGAGTGTCAGAATAGTTAACAGACCTCCTTTAGTAAGCGAGCAATTAAATGTGGCATTAAGCTACTTTCCCCCTTTTTAATGGGATTTCTACTTCTGGCTGTTAGGAACGCGGGTGGCGCTGTGGGTTAAACCACAGAGCCTAGGACTTGCTGATCGAAAGGTCGGCGGTTCGAATCCCCGCGGCGGGGTGCGCTCCCGTCGTTCGGTCCCAGCTCCTGCCCACCTAGCAGTTCGAAAGCACCCCTAAGTGCAAGTAGATAAATAGGTACCGCTTTATAGCGGGAAGGTAAACGGCGTTTCCGTGTGCGGCGCTCGTGCTGGCTCGCCAGCTGCAGATTCGTCACGCTGGCTACGTGACCCGGAAGTGTCTTCGGACGGCGCCGGCTTGAGCGAGATGAGCGCACAATCCTAGAGTCGGTCACGACTGGCCCTGACGGGCAGGGGTACCTTTACCTTTTTACTTCTGGCTACCTATTTACACGGTAGCACTCTTTTGCAAGATTTCATTTCTGATTAAAAGCTTAAAAGTTGCCAGTTGGAGATCTTTTGTTCATGTTCATGCATTCAGTGAATCTGACTTCCAGGTCGATAGATATGCCTCAGACAACAGTTGTCATGTGCTACAAGTTAAAGGTAAAGGGACCCCTGACCGTAAGGTCCAGTCATGACCGACTCTGGGGTTGCGGCACTCATCTTGCTTGATTGGCCGAGGGAGCCGGCGTTTGTCCGCAGACAGTTTTTCCGGATCATGTGGCCAGCATGACTAAGCCGCTTCTGGCGAACCAGAGCAGCACACAGAAACACCGTTTACCTTCCCGCCAGAGTGGTATCTATTTATCTACTTGCACTTTGACGTTCTTTCGAATTGCTAGGTTGGCAAGAGCAGGGACTGAGCAACGGGAGCTCACCCCGTCGCAGGGATTCAAACTGCCGACCTTCTGATCAGCAAGCTCTAGGCTCTGTGGTTTAACCCACAGCGCCACCCGCGTCCCTGTGCTACAAGTTACTCTTCCTTAAATTTTTTAGGAAATCTTCTTCGCACAATAAAATAAAATAAAAAGTCACACTGGGTCTCAACAGATCTCTGACGCGTGTTCTCCTTTCTCTCAGCAGGTATCCTCCAGGGGTCGTCAGCGTGGCTCCACCTGGCCTACCTAGCGCCGTAGAAGGAATAGTCCCCAACGCCATGTCCTTATCGCATGGGCTTCCTCCTGTCGCCCACCCTCCCCACGCTCCTTCTCCGGGCCAGACAGTCAAACCGGAAGCTGATAGAGATCACCCTAACGACCAGTTGTAGCCTAAGAAAACATCATTCCCAGCCCGGGCAACTTTGGAAAGCGTGCGGAAAACCGATTGGACTTTGAATAGATGCAAAATCATGAACATACAGAGGAGGCCATATTATGTTTTAGAAAGTGGTCCAAAATGCAGTATAACGAGAAATGGTGGGAGATGAAAGATTTGAAAACTTTATTCCTCCATATAAAAATGTAGTTTGTCCCTGTTCAGTGACCTGACTCACTGTTTCTGTGTCCTATGGGTTCTTTGTTAAGCCAGAGAAGTTAGTAGTTTAATTATATCATGAATGTACTTGTCTGTGTACAGTTTTTAGAACATTAACAAGGGTTTGTTTGCTTAGTTGTCAACAAGAAAAAAAATATATATAAGGGAGGCATTCGACAAACCATTTTTGAGATTTGGGATCCTTTGTTTTTGATATGTTTAAAAATGCCTAAAAGCGAAGCAGTTGGTGAACTTCTCAGGACAACGATTTTTCCCATTTTTCTTTCTATGCCACGCAGTGCATTGTTTTTTCTACCTTCTTGTCTTATTTTTTTAGAATAATTTAATAAAGTAAAAACAGTTTCTCCTAATTTCGGCACAAATTCCCCTTATTTCAGAATGAAGACATTTCGAAGAGATTTTGAGGTGCAAAATAAAAGTTTTTTTAATAAACGAGCATTATGCTTTTTGTCACCGGTTAATATATATTATTGGTGGGATGCAGAGAGAGAGAGAGATTGAGAGATTGAGAGAGGCACTAGACTACTGAAAAGTAGCTGCATTTCATTGCCTACATGGATTCCTTCCTGGTAATGTGGTAGGCTAGCAATATTTTGGGTTAAAATCATGTTTGTGACTGTGTCCATTTGTATGAATTATTATTTTCAAGAAATAAAAATTCCAAACAAATACCATGTGCACCATATATATGTATATATACATATTTATTTCTGGGTGATTCTTCATCTTTTATGAGGATTAAGGGATACTTCACGCCTAGGTTTATTTTGCTCTGAATGTTGTAATGCTTTCTCGGAAGAAAAACAACAGCATCATTAAATGCAGTTCTTTTAAATACAGTATTTTACAGCAAGGATAGGGATATGTTTGGCCTTCAGATTGGACTCCCCGGCCTTTGCAGCCATTGTCAGTGGTTAAGGAAAACGGAAGCCGAAATCTAACAGCAAATGGAAAATGACAGCTTCTGCCATCCCTGTTTTTACTGACTGGAAAGCTGGAAATGATGTATTGGAAAAGAACAGCTTTCGTTTCATTTTTTTCCAACTACACAAATCGGTTTTCTTACATCTTGGGACATAAAGTTTTGGTTTTGAAAGAGCATCAACTAGCCACAAAACAGCCAGCTTTTTTAATATATATTTCTCATTGCAAACCAATATAACAGTGGCACAAACATTTCATGTGCATATTAAAAAAACTAGTTTGACTAAGAATAAACGGATTAAATATGGAACACAATCCTACTGAAAACGTTTCCATATTTCATACATTCTTCCCCGCCGTCCTTCCTTCACCTCAATCAGCCACTGAAGCAAATTATGGTGAAATAAAAACCTGGTGAAAGGATCACTCTTTATTTTACACTATTTTCTGCAAAAGGAGCAGCCTGCAATACTGCTGGGTTTTGAATATGCTCTGTTGATGCCCATAAATGTTCATTTTTCCTCTTCTTCCCCTTAGATCTTGTAATTACATTCCTATCTTTTGATTAAATGATGGCTTCCACATTTTCGCATTATGGCTTTGTCCCTCCCTTTCCTAACTACCTCTTAACCCTCATCCCTCCAGATTATTTAGATTTCAGACAATCTACTAAATATTTGGAAAGCAGCTTGTCTTCCTGCCTGTCTTATTTTCTACAGGCTTGGCTGCCTCTCAGGATATTGCCAGCCAACTCAGCTCAGGGTTCATCACCATTTCTATGCATGGTGCCATTTTGTGTCAAGATGGCGGCCCAAAACGTCACTTTGGTGTGACTTTGCCCGTTTTCGGTCATAGGTTCAACCGCCTCTCAATATATTGTCACCAGGCTTAGGACGAGGGTCCCCAAGGTGGGGGTGGCAGTCTTTGCCAGCATTTGGACACTGGCCCCGTTTTGAACCAAGATGGTAGACCAAAATGTCACTTTGGCCAAACTCAGCAGACGGGTACCCAAAGTGGGGGCAGCAGAGAGCTTTGTTGCCACGTGGACGCCAGGTGCCTTTTTGTTTTTTTTAAAATAATATTTATTAAAGTTTCAAGTAGTACAAAAGATAAAAAGAAAAAAGAACAAGAAAGAAAAATTCCCCCTTTATAATCCACATTTTCAATAACTTTTTTTCCAGAACTTCCCCTCACCTCCCCTTCTTGTATTCCATGCCCAAATATTTATCCAACAAGTTCTTATCCCTAAATTTTTAACCCTAATTTGTTATTATATTTAATTCAATTTACGTATCAACTTTTAACTTATATACATCAATCATTTATACTTAAAAAGTTTTTTCTAAGGTCAACCCAGTTTCCCTTCCATGGATTCCCCATTTTTATACTAATAACAACACAAAATTAGAAAAAAAAGAGTAGAAAAAAATCAAACACCCTTTGGATTTCCAAACCCCACCCTCCCTTCCCCGGTTTCGATCCCAGAACCATTGTCCATTAGTCCATCTACTATCAGCCTGGCAACCTCACGTCTGAGGCCCTTAAATCTCTCTCAGTCCTTCTCTGCCGGTTTCTTTGAAAGTCCTTTATATTTAACACCAAGGCTCGGAGGGGCACTATCCCTATAATGTCCATGTTCCTTCCAGCCAGGCCTCCATGTTTAAAGGTGGAGCTCAAATTTTGTTTCTTAAATGGCCAGGTGCCATTTTGATTAAAGTTGGCACAGCACCACCTGATTTTTTACATGACCAGTCCAAACTTGCAAATTATACTACCTGTTGGAAACAAAAAACAAAACCCTCAAATGTCTCTTGCTTTCTACAAATTCCCCAAGCAGCCCAGTCACTCCCTACTAGTCCTTTTATATCGGGAAGTGTGGAACTGGTTATCATTACAACTTCAGCTAAGAAATGGTTTCGTTTGATTCTCAGCGATGGATCGTGTGGCGGTCCTGAAGCTTGTCTGAAAAAAAATACTGAACTTTGGCAGGATCTTGCCACGTATCCTATGTTTCCCATAAAGGTGGAGATGCTAAAAAATATTTATCTAAGCTACCGGTAGTTACCACTAGGTGGCAAAAATACTGTATTAATGTATTGATGCTGAGATAGGTTACAAAATCATCTGATTTTGGGGTGCAACACACAACCTGTAATTAAGAATACAGTATATTCTTTGCAGCTGGCATTTTGCATGTTAAGAAGGCATGTTAAGAAGACAAGAAGGCAGATTTACTGTTATCGATCATTAGCAACTTGACAAAAGAGAGACCAACCTTTTTTCTGTCCTGATGTGATTTTGCACGTCCTGGAAGCGTGATAGATTTCCCCACTTTATCCAGAGCAGAAGAAGCAAAATCACTTCCTTCCAACCTAATTTCTAGGGTCTGGCTTAACTGTTAAAACGAGAAAACACGTGACAGTGTTCCATGCCCTTGTACTTCTTTAGATACAGTGGTGCCCCGCAAGACGAATGCCTCGCAAGACGAAAAACCCGCTAGACGAAAGGGTTTTCCGTTTTTTGAGCTGCTTCGCAAGACGAATTTCCCTATGGGCTTGCTTCACAAGACGAAAACATCTTGCGAGTCTTGCAATTTTTTTTCACTCCCCCCTTTTTCTAAGCCTCTAAGACGCTAATCCTTTAATAGCCACTAAGCCACTAATCCTTTAAAAGCCGCTAAGCCACTAATAGCGCTAATCTGCTAAACCGATAATAGGGTTGCTTCGCAAGATGAAAAAACCGCTAGACGAAGAGACTCACGGAACGGATTCTTTTCGTCTTGCGAGGCACCAATGTACCTTTAAGCATTTTTCTTCTTTCCCATTTAACTTAAAGATATGTTAAGAGTATACCTGTCCCAGCTTGTGTGACTGCAATAATAATAATAATAATAATAATAATAATAATAATAAATCAAGATAGCAACCAAGGCTAAGTGAGAAAGTACTGCACAATTCTTTTGATATGGGTACCAGTGGCAGAGCAAGCCAATCGGGTGCCTAGGATGGCGCGCCTGCCCTGTGTCCAGGGGCGGGGCCAGCCATCCATGGGGCGGGGCCAGCCGAGGCAGGACGCTCTGTGGTGCCTCCGAGGAGTCTGCCTGCCTCCTGCCACTCAGCTGCCCTACAGCTGGGGGGAAGTTGGCGGGCGGACCGTTTGGCGCAGCACAGAGCCTGCCGGCACCCAAGCCACCGTGTCACTCCCAAGAGAGATGTGTGGTTCAGGCGCACTGCAAGCCCCGCAGTGAGCATCGCCCGGCATGTTGTCACCCCCCTCGGTGGTGACACCCGGGGCAGACCACCCCCACTGCACCCCCTTCCTACGCCGCGATTGGCACTGCATTCAAGGAGAAAGGAGGATATTAAAGACATAGGAAGTTAACAAATCGTCCAGGCGGCAAAATGCCTTGGGCCCACTGAATGGTGTTGAGTATGCTGTTGCTAATCCCTGCTTAAAGGTAAAGGGACCCCTGACCGTTAGGTCCAGTCGTGTACGACTCTGGGGTTGCGGCGCTCATTTCACTTTGCTGGCCGAGGGAGCCGGCGTACAGCTTCCGGGTCATGTGGCCAGCATGACTAAGCCACTTATGGCTAACCAGAGCAGCGCACGGAAACGCCCTTTACCTTCCCGCCGGAGCGGTACCTATTTATCTACTTGCACTTTGACGTGCTTTCAAACTGCTAGGTTGGCAGGAGCTGGAACCGAGTAACGGGAGCTCACCCCGTCGCGGGGATTCGAACCACTGACCTTCTGATTGGCAAGTCCTAGGCTCTGTGGTTTAACCCATAGCGCCACCCGCGTCCCTACAGCGCCATGTGTATGAGTTGCCAAAGAGCAAGCAGTAATTGGGGGGGGGGGAAATTAAATACAAAGACTGCAACCTGAAAATGGATATTTTTTATTTATTTAAAAATTATGAATGTGTACGCGGATGTTCATGTTGCCAAGTTACACAGCATTTGCATCTGGCTCCCTGATTTCCAGCTGCTGGAAAAGACATGTACTCTTTTATCACAGAAATGGCTCCTTCTTCACACAAACTGTTCTCCCAGTAGACGTGTGTTCACAAACACGGAATTTGAGAGAGAGGCAGAGCTCAGCATTCCCTTCCTCTGATTCTTCCTCTCTATGCTGTTTTTCCTTAATTGAAAAAGTATAGTTTTAGTTCCACAGGACATTATCGCCATTTGAGCTAAGCAAGGAAGAGGATGAACTATCACCCTGCGGGATGACGCATAAAAGCCACCACCATCTGGGACTTCTCTCCCTTTGCTTAAGACAGAAAACACTGGTCACGTAAAGGTCCCCACAATGAAGGGATTTTGGCCTCTGTTTCAGCTGTTTCTTCGCGTGATGCAAACTGAGTTGGCATGAATGCAGACTTTTCTACACCTAACCTAGAAGTAAAATGCAGTGTACACATAATGTGAGTTGTTACTCTTTTGCCATGAAGTTAATTATCAGAACCCTTTAGTCGGCTTGCCATATTTCAAAAAGTGAAAATCTGGACAGAAAAGCCTCTTTTTTTTTTTTTTGCAAAATTTTTGAGCCTTTTTTCTGGGGGTGGGGAGTTGCAAACTTGTTGATGATTTATTTGGGGGGCAAAGTTGTTGAGCTTTAGGCATTTTTTAGCTACTTTTTAGGAAAATCAGCGAAAATTAGACTGCCAACATCAGTTGCCATATGGATTTTCCTGGATATCTAGTTGATTTCGGCCTGGACGCTGCTTTCGGATACAGTAGTCCAGGAAATTCCACACGT